ACATATTAATAACACGGTAAATTTTCTATACTTGTTTCAAAAATCTGTATTGTTACTATGTGTCTGTCTGTATTTCCCTTTTTTTTTTGGCAGAACCGGGGATTGAACTCAGAACCTTGCACTTGCCACGCAAGCGCTTATTCTACTGAGCCATCTCCCTGGCCCTATGTGTCTATCTTTGTTTTTGCTTTTTTTTTTTTTTTTATTCTTTAAAATAAAATTAAATTTTAAAAAAGTTGTGGTAATGGAAAATGAAAGATCAGCAAAGTCAACTGGAGAAGTAATCACTGCCTTGCTGTCAGTTGTTTTATAACTGCTAAACTGTGCACATGCATATATAAACATGCTGCTAACACACATACACACAACATGCACGTGCACAGTATAAACATTCTCTACTGTGTAGTATCATTGTAAAGACAATGCATAAATAAAAAAGAAAAGTCATATTGCTTTAATTACAGAATCAAAATTCAGAGAAGACATAAGGAAGGAAGAGAAGAAGGCAAGAAAAGAAGGGAGTGGAGGGTGGAGAGGTAGATGGATTCACATAAAAGCACATTGAGGAAGGGAAGCAAAATACAGAAAGAACTTTAATATATGATTCATAGTTCTAAAATGACATTAGGACGTAATATATGATCTACTCTAGGGTAAATGTGACCTAAACAAACAAACAAATGAACAAATAATTAAAATACTGTAAGATAATCACATTACCCAAAGCAAGGCTAATATATTGCTTTTATACTTTGTATTTTAAAATATATTTCCTTTAACAATACATTTTCTGTGAATACACTTAAAGATTAATTAATCTTACCTTCTACAGAAGGTGCCTGGTCCTGAGCTGAATACAGCATATCCTTGAAAGCCTATCAGAAAGGTAAAAAATAAAATCAATACATGAAATCTCAAATAAACTTTATATTTAAAACATTTGAAGCTAGGGCTGGGGAAATAGCTTGGTGGTCTAAGCTCCTGCCTGGCAAGTGCAAGGACCCAGGTTCAATCCCCAGTACTATATGACATGCTGGCCCTTGAACCCTAGGTGCTCTGTGCTGGCCCCAAAACTGGGAGTGATGGTGCATGCCTGTAAACCCAGCATCAGGGAGGCTGAGACAGGAGGAGCACTACAAGTCCAAGCTGTGTAGTAAGACCCTGTACCAAATAAATTAAATACATAAATACATATAGTTTTTTTTAAAAATTGAAGCTAAATAATTATTTTTTAATAACCAGACAATGACCATATATAGTACCCTAAACAGAATTTAGAGAAATACTTTACATTAGTAAGCCAACTAGTAATATTTAATTTTTAAAATGAGCAATAATTTGTACTTTAAATACTAAAGGCACATGGAAAAGAATGAAAAATTGCCTTGGAGATCATATACCCTCTTCACTAAGAGAAAAAACAGAAAGACACCATGAAAGTCCTACAGAAATACTGCCTAAGATAATATGAAGAATGGGATACTAGTTAGTCTTTGTTTTGTTTTGGGGGGAGGTAACATAAAATTCATCATCTTAACCAGCTCTAAGTATAGTGTTTAGTGCTTTCACATTCTGCAACAAGTCTCCAAAATTTTTTCATCTTGAATAGAAATATTTTTCACTGAAGTTCTGTGAAGTTCTCTATAAAAACCTAGAACTAGGTTTAGGTTTATTATTTTTTCCCAAACCACACAGTAGATTAGCTAACAAGAAGATTTAGGCAATTTGGGTAGTTATAATTCAGTAGCTGGAGGACAGGAATGAGAAGCATTTCTTTTCATGTATCAAAATACTTGAATCAGTTAAGTTGGTAAGGCTCAAGAGCTTAAGTGACTTTAATTCAGCCCCATAGCTTCAAATACCATCTAAACACTGGTGATTCCCAAACTGGCTTTAGGAGTTCCTTGAACTTGGTACAACTGATACATTAGTTGTCAGATAATTCCCTCTTTGGCAGTGAGGGGGCTGTGCAATGCAGTAGAGAATATCTGGCATCCCTGGCATCTACAGAGCCGTTAAATATCAACATCAACTCTCCTAGTTGTGACACTGACAAATGTCCCCTGGGAGGCAAAACTACCTCTTTTCTGTCCAAAACGCCTACAGTTATTCAAGCATACCTGCATAAATACCCAAAAGGAAGATGTAAAAGTCTAGCATAACCACACATTTTTAAAAATATTGAAGTCTAGTAAGATTATATTTTCCCCAGATGAACTTATTATTTGCTTTGGGTGATCAACCTGTTAGTTCCATGACTAATCAAGTCTAACAAATATTAAAGTTTCAATGAAACAGGTAAAATTAAAATTTCTAAATCAATTCATTTTTATTCATTTTAACCCATTTTATTAAAGTGTAGGAGCTGGATGTGGTAGCACCTGGCTGCAATCCCAGAACTATGGGAAGATGAGGAAGGAGGACCCAAGTTCCAGCCCAGGCTAGGCAATCTGGTCTCAAAACAAAATCATTTATAAAAGGCCTGGAGATATAGCTCAGTGCAAAGGCCCTGAGTTCAATTTCCTTGAGGTGGGTGAGGGTGGTGTGAGGCATTAGCATTAATAGAAAAATCATGTACACATACAAAAAATGTTAAAGTTACACGTGCTTAACTCCAAAAATATTTAATAAGACCCACTATAACTTGAGGTTATATGGTAACACAACTTAAGTATAATTTTAAAAATACTGTATTTGATCTTTATGTCTAGTTCCAGGCACAAAGTTCCTAAAACTTTTGGAATTGACTGTGTTTTATATGCAAATGGGATTGCTCTGTGAGGGGTTCCACTTCACAGCTTCAGAAGGGGAGCTATAGAAACAAAGTGATCCGAGGGTTAGAACTTTCAGCTCTACCTCCAAACCTCTGGCCAAAGGAAATGTGCTGGAAACCCAGTCCCTTCACCAACGGAAATGATTTAATCAATCAAGTCTGTGTAATGAAATTTCTACAAAAACTCTTACATATCAAGAATCTCATAGCTTCTACCAACCTAGAAACTGTGAACACATTAATGTGCTAACGGGGCATAGACACTACGCAATCCTCATCCTCATACTGTAAACTTTTGGGAAAATCTTTGTTGGTGAACCAGTTTTGCTATGGTTACATTTTGAAGCACAACCTCAAGTTTTCGAACATTAATATTTAAACTAATTAATATACAATCTTACATGAATGTGACAAAAGTCTGGAACCTCCTTTAAGAAAAATATATACACATTACTTTCTTTAATTTTAAATACCTGGGGATCCACTTACTTTCAAAGTAAAATAGAAAGTTATTCCAGAAGATCTTATCAAACATTAGAAAGTTGTTATTTCAGTTTTTATTTATAAAAGCCCTATGCAGGTATAGAATGGCAATCATATTACTATTCACAAACCAGCTATCTCAAAAGGGCAAATGAACAGAAGATTGCTAAAAGCAGAACAAATTTCTAGAAATTAAAAAAAAAGTAGTACAAATATGTAAGAGAAAGAAATCCAGCCACAGAAGAGTTACGGAAATAAATTTATCTCGGAACAAGTAATACAATTCAAATGTCTGAATGAAATCTTGCTACTTCTGGGGTATAATAGGAATATGTACCCAAATAAATGATACTATCAAGAACCAAATAAATCAAAGGCTACCTGAGTGACTTGTGCTAAGTGCTCAATAAATAGTCCTTGAATTCAAGAATATCTTCTCTAAAGAAAAATAAAGATGACTAATAAATTATACTAAGTGGAATCTGACACGTAATGAAAGTGAATTAAAATAAAATAAAATAAAATAAAAACTTAGTCCCCCAAATCACTGAAAAAAGTGAATTAAATTTAAATTTGCAAAGCTTGCCAAATTAAGTTTTAAAAAGACAAATTAAAATTTCACAAAGAGAAAATATTTTTGTTCAGATTATCAAATGAAATTATAATTTTAATTAAGACAAATCTCAGCAAAATCAAGAGCAACTCTTTTTTTCTTCTTACTACACTTTACTCTGATTCAGAAACTGTTTAATTTTTGGTAATAACACTCTAGAAAACTTCACAAACAAGGAAACTGTGCCTGTCCAAGAGTAAAGACCCCAATCAGAAGAAGAAGAAAAAAGAAAGAAGTAAAAGCAAGGAGAAGGAGGAGAAAACTACAAGCCATTGTCTACAAGTACCTATAAACTATCTATCTCTCACTCAAAGGACTTGCATGAGTTGAAATCAGTATATCCAAATTACAAACCAAAGAGTTTCTTTTCACTCATGCTATTTACATTAAGGAAACCCAACACCTTACATAAAATACTGAATGTGTATAGTAAATCAGTATATATTTATGTACATTACAAATTTTTTTATTTCCAAACAATTAAAAGCAATCCTTTATATCAGTATTTCTACTGTAATCTTAATGCTAAATTATTCTTGTTATAATGCTGTAAGAATACATACAAAACAAGGACAAACTAAAGTTATAAGAACACAACAGTAATATCTTAAAAATTAATTCAAATGTAACTACAAAGCTAATATACTATACAAACAATAATATTAACATGAAGGAAAACAGATGCTGTTTCACTAAAATGAAAATCTCAACTTCTAAACATAAAGTGTTGACTACCAAAAATGCACCTTCTTTGGAGCTCAAAAGCCTATATTATTTTGTGTGCATATGATATGGTTCTCCAAGTATTCATCTACACAGTAAGGCAGCATAGCAGAGTAGAAGCTTTGGAGTCAATGATATATATAAAAACCAACCGTAATACTTCTAAATTGTGTAAATCTGGAGAAAATTAGTATCTCTGTACTCTGACACTCTCATCTGTAAAACAGGAATGGTAACCACATTTACCTGTTCAGATCTATCTTGAGGATTAAAAACATTTAAAACACATATTCCTATATTAATTTTTATTCATAACTATACATGAAGGACATTGTCAAGAATATAAAAGACACTCAAAACACGTTAGCTAATAAAATATGAGCTACCATAACATTTAGATCTTACAGCCTATGATGTGGCACCATCAGGACCTCTTCCAGGAATCAATATATGACCTATATATTAGACATGCCTGAGTCAGTCCACCCAGTGCGGGGGATGAAATCGAAGGCCTCACAAGTGCTAGGCAAGTGTAGTTTTATCTAGAACCAAGATGGTTAAACAAGTATAAGCATAAACATAAACACTACAATTTCCTGGCATTGCTAGCTGATAAAATAGTCATCTAAGTGAATGTTTCTATTGTATTTTATCAGATTATTACTGATAAAAACACAAAATCTTTTTACTTCTCATTGGAAATCTACAGACTCCTAACAAAATATACACAGACACCAATTTGAGTATGTTTTAAAAAATAAGCCCTCCTAATTACGTTGTTCAATTTAAAAAGATTTAAGCTTTGTAACTTAATACTTACAATATATTTTTTATAATGTAACTTATACTTACAATATAAGTTTTTTTTTTTTTAATGTATTTGGTACAGAGTCTCACTACACTGCTCAGACTCACAGTGATCTTCCTGTTTTCAGCCTCCCCAGTGCTGGGATTACAGGCATGTGCCACCAAACCCAGTCTTGGTGGTCAGCTCAGTGTGCCACAGGGCAGGGCCAAAGTGGCATGTGGTAACAGGGATCAAACTAGATATATACTTGAAAATATTTACATATGTGTTGATGTACAGCCCATAAAAATATCCTCCAATTATTGCTTTTTCAATCTATTTCCTTCTTTGGCTTCCTTTTTAACTTATTTCACCCAAAATACTAGGTAGTTTGTAAAAAATATACAAGTCAATTAAATCTGACATAGTTTGTCTTGTCATCTAGATATCAATAGTATTTCCCTGATGCTTAAAATGCATAGGGTAGTTGTATAAA